CATGGCAGACAACAACAGACTAACCCATGAGCTCCTCTCTCTATGTCTTTCTTGCTCTACTGTAGATGTTCCTTTGATTAACAATGGGTGAAGGGAAAGATATACACAAAACCAAAAAGGTGGTCAAGGTACATTTTATAGTTTGATCCCAACTGTGGAAAATATGCAAATGAGGAAAGGTTTAAAGAAATAACACACAGTGGAATAAGATATAGCCATTAAGACAATATTTAGGAGAAAGTGCCTGTGATAGTATTGTGTAGAAAAAGCAGATATGGTTTGGGGAGATGGCTCAGTAGGGAAAGTGCCTTTATGCAAACATGAGGACCTTGGATCAGACCCCCAGACCCATGTAAAAGTTTGGCATGCCGGTGCAATATAATGTAACCTCACTGCTATGAGACAGAGAAAGGCAGACCCTGGGAATTGATGGTCAGCAGGCCTTGGCAAAGCATCAAACTTCAAGTTGAGTGAGAGACTGACTGTCTCAAAGAATAATATATAGAAACAATAGAGCAGCTGACATGCATCTCTGGCCTCTACATGAGCCTGCCTGTATGGGCTAGCACAACCCCAGACATGGGTGCACAGCCCATCATCCATGCGTAAATAGAGAAAAAGAGGTGTGTGGATGGAACTACATTTTGTGTGTTTATACCCTCTTCTTTATTCAAAACGTGCTCAATAGGGATAAACTTATTTTGAATTTAAATCTGTGTGTGCTTCTTGCATTTTTTATTTTCTATTATAAACATGAACTGTTTTATATTTATTAAAATATAATTAAAATTTGGCAATGACTAAGTACAGGGTTGGGAAAGGAGAGAAAGAGTCTTCTGTTAAAAAAGAACTCTGCTTTTCACATTAAGATTATTTCCACCAAAAGGCTTGTATTGTGCCTGGCTGTCTTCCTGGGTTAATTAAAAATTTCCCTCCCAATATTTTCCACTAGACCCCATGTGCATACCCATGAAATATACTAATGTTACACAAAAGTCATGCAGGAGGCAGGCCCAGAAGGAAACATTCTCGGACATGTTTACCTAGGAAGAGCAGGCATCTGCTATGGAAGCCCACTTCACACTAGTGAAGGATGTGCATAAGCCAAGCAGCAAGATATTCTTAAATCTCTTCCAAACACTGATTCCTGTCCTCCAAGAATGGCAAATCCGGTGCCTTCGATGATAACAACAGACAGGCCTAAGCTTGTCTGTGAACCAGGCTCAGCTGCAACTGTTGAGGCTTGACTCCAATGACCTACACCCTCTACCTTAGCCTTACTTCCTAAAGTGCCCACAACATCTCAAAACAGTATTACCATCTGGAGACCAACTGTTCAAGCACATGAACTGGTTGAGGACATTCACATCACAACATCTGAAGGGACTCTTTTTTATACCTGCACATACAGGCACTAAGTTTTGTGATTAAGTGTTTTGTAGTTTAAATTCCACAGTCAAAAAACTGATAACATTTTTGTGGTTTTGTTTTATTGCTTGTTTGTTTCTTGAGACAGGGTCTTGTTTATATACACTAGACTGACCTTAAACCAACAATTTTCTACCTCAGCTTCCTGGGTTCCGGGGTTAAAGGAGTACATCACTATAGCTGGCTAAAGACTAATATTACCTTGTGTGGAGGATGTGTGTAGGCACATATGTGTGTGCACATTTGGAAGCCAGACGTAGAGAATAGATAACAGTCTCTATTGTTCTCTGCCTTAATTTTTGGCACAGGTTGTCTCACTGAACCAGAACGTTGCCATTTGGGGTACACTGGCTGGTCAGTGAGACTCTGGAATCTACCAGTCCTTCCTTGCCCCAGCACAAGGTTTACAAGTGGGCACACAAGACCATCACAAGAGCAGGAGACAGAGGGGGAGAAGGGAGGGGTTATTCTGTGATCTCAATAGGTCTTGCCTCTTAAATGTCTACTGCTATACTGCTCCCAGTATCTGAATATTTGGGGGGCACACTCAAACCACTGTATTCAGTATTCAGTGCACCCAACTCTTTTGAGTATTAGGAGTCCAATCAGGTCCTTATGATATGCACTTTAACATCTGAGCCATCTGCCTAACCCCAAGATTAGTAATATCTGAAATGTAAAGTAAAAAGGCAGTAGGTTATCTCCATGAATAGTCCTTGGTTGGAGTATCAGTCTCAGGAAAGACCCCTGTGTTCAAATTTTCTGGTTCTGCTGCTCTCCTTGTGGAGTTCCTGTCCTCTCCAGGTCTTACTATTTCCCACTTCTTACATAAGATTCCCTGCACTCTGCCCAAAGGTTGGCCATAAGTCTCAGCATCTGCTTTGACAGTCTGCAGGGCAGAGCTTTTCAGAGGTCCTCTGTGGCAGGTTCCTAGCTTGTTCCCTGTTTTTTTCTCCTTCTTCTGATGGCCTGAAACCCCTGCATAGATGTAGCCCATAGCAGTTCTGTCTCCAAGTGGATTCCATAGTAATGGGAACAGGGACTGTCTCTGACTTGAACTGATAGGTCTGCTCTTTGATCACCTCCCCTTGAGGTGGGGAGCAGCCTTACCAGGCCACAGAAGAAGACAATGGAGCCAATCCTGATGAGACCTAATTGACTAGGATCAGAAGGAAGGAAAAGAAGACCTCCCCTATCAGTGGACTTGGGGAGGGGCATGCATGCAGAGGAGGGAGGAAGGGAAGGATTGGGACTGGAGGAGGGAGGGAGCTACAGGGGGGATACAAAGTGAATACAGTGTAATTAACAAAAAAAAATTAAAGGCAATAGCACCAGTGAGCAGAGTTCATCGATCTCAGTACTGATACCAGAAGGCAGAGCATTCTTAGTTGAAAGGTATTCATATCAAGGGTTTTGAGGAGCATGTCTCTGAGAGTGGAGATTTTAATCTCCAATTCAAAACAGCTACAACCGGTGAGAAACCATTGTGCTCCACCAGTTTGAAGCTAGCAACTCCATAGTCCATCACCACACTTTTATACACACGATCTTTGGCATTCAACAAATTCCAGTGACTTCAACATAGATTCCCTGGCCCACAGAACACAAACCACTGAAAGATGCTTGCTTGCCACTATGGACTGAATACAACGGTTTGAGTGTGCCCCCAAGTACTTAGATGCTGAGAACAGTGTGGTTGTACACATTTGAACAGCAAGGGTTCCTGAGTTCACAGATTGGCCCCTTTCCTCTCTATCTCCTGATCTTTTGACATAATCCCTCTTGCATGAATTTCTACCAGCATGATGTGATGACCACAAAGACAATACAGTTACAGCGGCCCACACATGAGGCAGACATATATACACTGTTTGAACTTTCAGATTCCCAAACTGTGAGCTAAACAAACTTCTAATATTTTAGTAAATAGACAGCCATACACATTTCCTTTTAGTAACAAAAAACAGACCAGTACAGTGACCTCCTAATCTCTCTGGGTCTTTCCTAGTCTAAAGCAGGTTTTTCCATTTCTACAACAGAAAACAATTGCTTTTACTAGAACAAGAACCACCACATTTTAGGAAGTTTTGGACTTACTTCTCTGTTATCAGTGATGGGCATCTTTTTTTCTGCTCTGGAAAATGATGTCCTGATAGCAAGTAATCAGGACATGGTTTGTTTTTTTTTTGGTGTATTTATTTTGGGGTAGAGTTTCTGGGCCACATTATCATTTCAGATATGGAATAGTGAAGAACTCTTTATTGTTTTTAAAGCAGCTACTGTGTCTATAAATATTTGGGGATCTTCAAATTTTTTAAATCTTACTATTTTATGTGTAGGGGTGTTTTGCCTGTATGTATGTCTATAAGCCACATGTGTGCCTGGTGCCCACAAGAAAAGAATATCAGATTCCCAGGAACTGGAGTTGAAGATGGTTGTGAGCTGCTATGTGGGTGCTGGGACTCAAGCCTGAGTCTTCCAGAAGAGGTTTATCCTCTAAAACTGATATAGCAAGAATTTCGAAAAGGTGTGTGTGTGTGCAGTGCACATGTAAATCTGTGTATAAAAACACAAGGTCAGAGATCAACTTCATGTGGAGTTACCGACACAGCTGCCTAACATGGATTTACATGGGTTCTGAGATCTGAACTTAGGTCCTTATGCTTGTTTGCAAGGAAAGTATTTTACCAAGTGGGCCATCTCACTGGGCAATAAGTGTCCCAGTTTGTGTTTTAAAAATTGGAAAGCTCTGTGGGATTTTAGAAGTGGATCAGTTATAAAAGAGACATTAAAATACAGACGAATATATAAAATATGCAAATAAAACAAAACTAAAATCAAAACCAACCATTATTTATTTGCTTGCTGGCTTATTATTTCATTACAGTGTTCAGGATGAAACTTGAGGCTAAATGCATGATAAGCATATGCCCTAGAGATGAGCTGCACCCCTAACTCCAAGGTAAGAACTTCAATTCACATTATTAGCTCTATTTTGGATGCACATTTCAAATGATCAGTTTTCGAACACACCACTGTCTGTTGTCTAGTAAATACTAGCTGGTGACTAGATTTCTGAAGAGTAATCTTCATGACTTCCTACAAAATTTCAAAGTCAGCCAGCAAGTCAATCTGCAGACATACACAAATCATATTCATAAACTAATGAAGTAGAGAATTCACATATGGGATACAAATAAAAGTTATACTCCCATTCCCCATTCTAATAAAAGTTGCAGCTTACTTGTAGCTCATGATATTGACAAGAAAGATTGATTTTTGAAAGTGTTGTCTCCTCATAGTAACACTTGGAGAAGTTTATTTTAGCTAAGCCAAGATTCAAAACTGTTAAAGGGTCACAAAAGGTGGGACGTAACCATGGAAGCTCTAGTATGTTACTGATGTTCCTTCTATTCTTCCCTCCCTAGTTCAATTTCAGCAGTAGTACCTGAAACTTCTTTATTAATATATACTTTGGGAAACAAGTGCAGAGCTTTGCAGAATGCAGGCGTACTTCTCAAATGAACTGTAGGCACAAGGTGAAGGGACCCTATGGAAGGAGGCCTACTTACCGTCACAGTGAGTGCATGTGTAGACTTCTGGAGCAGTGGGCTACCCAGCATCTGATCACAGACCTTGAGAAATGCCCACAAAGACCAGGACCACCCTGCAAAGAAACAGAAAGATTTGCAAACGAATGTCATAAAAAAAAAAAAAATCCATGAGGGCATACCCACACCTCACCCTTCCTGTTCCCTTAGGGATCTTTCTCATACTGAGGCAAATTTTACACATTTTATTCATTCATCATTTTTGTCTTCACCTTTTAGATGAAGATACAGGTTCTGGATGCAAAGAATAGAAAATGGAACAAGGATTAAAATAGCTGGCCAGGCTATTTTATGCGTGTATTTATTATGCATGTAGCAATTCTGACTTGATAAAATCACTACTAGCACAGATTCTGCTACTGCTATTACTTAACAATAATGTCCTAGGAGACACCTTAGTTCTTAGGACAGTGCTTTATGCAACTTACAATGTATGTGTGCACACCCTCACGTAAAGACAATGCAATGAAATTCAGGGACAACTCAGACACTCATGTTTAATATTGACAGTACATCTATCAGCTTGTTAGTATGACAGCAAAGTGTATCACATCTTTGGCTCCTTTAAAAAATAAAGGTATCCTTAAGTAATGTCAGTTCTCTCCTGCTATATGTGTCACTGGGATAAAACTGAGGCTAGCCAACAAGCTGGCTGATGGGTACCTTTATCCTCCCAAATATCTTGCAGGATCCTGAAGTGATTTTGAAGAATCTAAGCTCCTAGCTCATGAAACCATCTTCCTTTAAATCATATCAAAAAATTGCTTGAAGGGGCTGCAAAGATGGTTCAGTGGTTAAGAGCACTAGCTACTCCTGAAAAGTCCTTGGGTCCAGTTCCCAACACCCAGATGGTGAGGTGGCTCATAATTGTCTGTAACTACAGTTGCAGGAGATCTGATACTCTCTGGCAGCTATAGGTATGAAGCATGTGCTAGCAAGCACCCACACCCATATATGCAGAAACACATATACACATAAATGGTATTTTTATTTGTTACTTTTTCATTAACTAGGAATATAAATCATCTAACGAGCAGATGCCTGAAGAGATATACTCTATCCTTGCAAAATTTCTTTAACTGTGAATGAATACAGCTTCCTTCCTACAGTTTAAATTATCCAAAACAATCAGAAAAAATGCAAGAATCAAGGAAACTGAACTCCTGTCTCTCAAGTTCTTTTTCATCTTGAGCAACAGCTAAAAGGTGAGGGTTAATTGTAACTCAAAGCCAGCAGTGAAGTTGTAAGGGAAAGTGCTGCTTATTACCATCATAAACTGTTTTCAAGAAATTCAAGCAAATCATTCCTACAGAGTCATGTTCATAGTTCTGTTGTTTAAAAGAAGAAAATGAAAGAATTTTGACAGACAAGTTCACAGGCCTACAAGTTTCATTCATACATATTAAAAAGAAAGGAAGGAGGAAATCATAAGGATTTTAAAAATAAAAACAAGTCTCATACAAAATTCACCTACAAAAATCTCTGAATGGAAATTAAAAGGTACTAAATCAGAAAAAAATGCACAAAGGAATATTCTTATAAAACAAAACCAAATTTTGTTATTAAAAAAAATCCATTGAGAAAGAGGGGCTAGAGAGATGGCTCCATCGTTAGTACTGTGCTGCATACTGCATGCTCAGAGGACTGAGGTCAGGTCTCAGCACCCACTTGACAGCTCCAATGAACTATCTGTAACTCTCTTTCCTGAGAACACTGGCTTCCTCAGGTATGTCAGGTACTTGATACCTATACTATGTACATTCAGGCAAACACTCATATACATCAAACAAAATTAATCTTTAAAGGAAAAAATGTGATGGAAAAAGGACAAAACTCTTCAAGAAAAGCTGAAGGGGAAGCAAATGTCTGCTCAGGGTAAGCTGTAAATTATGAGGTTGGGGGAGGATAAGTCTTATGATGAAATAGCTAAATGCCAAAAAGTATCAAAATATAAGCAGCTGTTACCACAATAAGCTCCAAATTGCCTGTAAATTAAAAGATTAAACCCCATCATATTCAATAAGCAATTAATATACTAACAGTTCCTATTACAAGCTGTTCAGAAAAAACTTTAGAACTAAATTTCTATTTTCCTTGATCCAAAACAGATGGTAACTCACAAATCAGAGTTTCAAAACTGAAGACTATCTTTTATATATGTTGTGAAACTCTGTGAGCCTAATTGACTTTATCATCTGTGTGTGATCAACACACACACACACACACACACACACACACACACACACACAGAGAGAGAGAGAGAGAGAGAGAGAGAGAGAGAGAGAGAGAGAGAGAGAAACACAAAGGGGAATTTATGACTTTGCTTAGTAAAATTCTTTTGGTTATACAACCTACCAAAAATAATTAGTTTTTTGCCGAAAACAATAAATTAAAATGAGAATCCAATCCTTCTAATAGCTACTTTAGACTGATTTCCCCATGATTAGTACCTACAACAAAACCATCAACCATAGTTCATATTCTCAGGCTAGGGAGATGGCTCAGTGAGTAAAGTGTTTGCTTTGTAAGCATGAGGACCTGAATCCAGATCCCCAGAACCCATATAAAACCTGGGCATGGCAGTGAACATCTGTAACCCCAGTGCTGCTGGGTAAAGACAAGATCACTGGAGCTCACTGGCCAAACAGTCCAGGCAATCACTGAGCTCTAGGCTCAGTATGTTTGCCTTGGTCATGGCTTTTTATTAGAATAATAGAAAAATAACTAAGAGAATCACTGTATTTTTACTATTTAGCTGATTCCGTAAGTTGAACACAGAATTCTTGAGGTATAAGTTATCTTACCCTTCATTTCCTTCTGTCATGTTATCCAAAGCATGAATTTTTATGTATCTTGCCAATAGGAAGAATGCCATCCCACATTGATTTTTGCATTCTAGACTGCACATACGTACAGTAAATGTAATGTAAAGGGAAGGGGGAGGGAGAGTGGGAGGGTGGATAGACCATTTATGGTCACAGAGCACTGCGGTAGCTGATAACACACATTAACACAGCAATTACACAATCACCCTGCCACATTTGTTTTCTTCCTGTCTGTCTTTATTGCAAAATACCAGAAGGAAGTAAAATATTTTCACAAGGATACTAGAGTTCAGAAAGATTTCTTTGGGATTCTTCCTGTGTGGGTCGAAATCCAAGAACTTGCACATGCTCAACAAGTTCTCTACCACTAAGCAACATCCCTACTACGTTCCACTTTTCTTTTGAGACAGCATCTCATTAAATTAATGATGCAGACTTGCCTTGAAAATGATACCCTTCTGCTTCAGCTTTCTCAATGCTTGGGCTACAGGATTTAAAGTAGGTATTTCTTCTAACACCCCTGATGTTAAATCTCAGTACATTAATGTCCCATTTGAGTGCTCGTAAGCCAGCATTCACCTATTTTTCTATGCTCTAACTCTTCATGTAATTACTGTTGAGAAGACACACAGATGTAGCCAAATGTCCAAACTTAAGAATACCCTCTGTTAAGGTCCATTCTAAAGTCAAGCGGGTAGGTTTCTCCATTCTCACTTTGCTCTAAACCTTTTTCATAACTTTACAGTGCTTCAGAACAGCTGTATACAACTGAAAAAAATACTTTAAAGAATTTTAATTTTAATTCAGTTAGTTGTTTTGAGTCAGGGATCTCACATGTTACAGGCTGGCCTTGAATTAACAATCGTGCTGTCTCAAGCTCTTGATACTAGGGCTACAGGCAAACACTAGGACTATAGGGGCTTTTTGATAAGCCCTGGGACCAGATGCCAACTCTGGAACCACAAGTGAATGAATGGGCTAGGACTAAACATGAGTGCAAGGGTTGTGGGCAAGAGCTGAGATCACAAATGAGTGCTCCAAAGAGTACCTGGGATTACAAGTCAGTGCTGAGATTAAGAGTGAACTCTGGGACCACGGGGATCATAGGCTGCTCCCGGGATTTCAGGTGAAGGTACTGAATGCACAGCAAGCTACGGGATTAAGGCCATGCCCCAAAACACTTAGTCCAGCGAAAGCCCAAGCATAAATTTTTTAGCACTTGCACTTGTGTGCGTGTGTGCGTGCATTCACATACATGTGCCTTGTGCCTACGCCAGAAGGTGACACTGAGTGACTTTCTTGATTACTCTGCACCTTATTTACTGAGGCAGTCCCTTACTGAACTAAGAGCGCATCTGTTGAGCTAATCTAACCAGATAACTTGCTCCAGGGACCCTCTTGCCTCCTATGCAAGGCTTATAGTTAGACTTTTAAGTAGGTTCTCGGGTCCCAAAGCATGGTCCTCATGCTTTTACAGTAAGTGGTTCGTCCCCTGAGCCATGTTTGATCTCACAGAACTTTTAATATGCCTCTAAGAAATAATATAGATAAGCAGTAAACGATATCTAAAAGTGTGTTCTGCAAAGGCAGTCATTTTTAGAGGATTGCTTCTTAGCCTGTAAGAAGGGTGTTAGTCATTTAAAGAGTTCTCTTTAAAAATTATGTCAAATTTAAAAATATTTTCCTCACAAGAGGAAATAGTTCCTTCAAGATTCATTTACCACAATACAACATGAACATCCCAATTCAAGCTCCACATCACTAAATATATACTCCAGAATCCTTAAGACTGTTTTTTGATTTTAGCTGAAGTGAAATAAAATTAATTACTTTGAAAATGTCCACTTTGGTGGTATTTAGTACCATGACATCTTAAGGAACTACCACCCACAAAACACTTTCATCATACTAAAGGGAAACTTTCCGTCCATTCACAATTAATTCCACTCCTCCTCTTGGGAGTATCAGAACTGCTAGTTGGATTTGCCTACTCAGCACAGTTCATAAATATGCATCACACAGTGGCCATCTGTGTCTGGCTCCTCTCAGTGACTGTATTTCCAAAACTCTTCCTCAGCAAGGATCTAACTATTTCTTTTGATGGCCATGCACCATGTTGTTAGTGTTGAGTGATTTCCCACCTAGGGGCAATCAGGCAATGTTAGGAGAGAACCGGTGGAGGTGAGCCCCAGAAGAGTAAGAAAGACTTAATTTTTGAAACAGGA